GTACATTTAAACCACTGGTATTTCATAGTACTCATTGACTGCAAAAGTTTTCAGTCACAAGTGACATAAAGAGTTGGATGAATGGGCAGGTGCTATTGAGAGCTCTGCTGTGCTTACCACTGAAGCTTGTCAAAAATTTATTTCAGTGAAAGATCTGTCAGTGAGATTCAGTTGTCAAGTTGGCTTTAGGATTTGCATCACAGCATCAGCCAGTCAAAACTGGAATGCTGAAACTTGACCTCAACACTGAAATTCCTGGACTAAACAAGGAGATAAGAAATGCAAAGAAAGGTATTTTTAAGCTCCATCTTCCTCACAAAGGTACACATTTAACCTTGCAACCTGACCATATTCTTAGAAATAAACTGTTTCCTGGTGTTAGGCAGTTTAAAACAGATAAGGCTTTAGTTCTCCACTTAGACACAAGGGTATCAAAGATGCTGAAGCATCTGCTTCAAGCCATTCTGCTGCTCCACTTGGGAAGATATTTCAGTGTTGGGTCTCTGCATGACCACTGCAAACGGAGTCACCACCACACTTTTTCTGGCCCAACTAATTCTCATGTAACAGCAGGGAAGTAAAACATCTTCACCATGAGAGTTTAAACATGGGTTTTCGGTTTATAGACAGACTGTGTCTTAAAATATTGCAGGTCCGGGTTCTAAATCTGTCTTCCAAGCCAGGGAAAGGATTTGAATTAATATCAGCAATATCATGGATGAGTGCAACAAATGAATTAGATCTCTCTTCTGCAGCAATGACAGCAGTAACAGAATCTTTAATTTGTGTACCAAAATATATTCCAACACGTACTATCTAGTGTCCATTATCTGAAATCTTCTTTAGTTGAAATGAAAACACTTCTGGTATTATAGCAACCATCAAACTGAAAAAATATTGAAAAGGAATTATTTTTATTCTTGAATTATGCACTCTCTTATAATAGTTTGCATTGTTGTTTGGTTTGTTTTAGTTAGAATTGATACTACATTTCAGGAAAACCTAGGAAATTTCTGAATTATACAATAAATTTTTAAATTCTTTACATTTTTCCTATACATAACATGAATCATTATAACTGAAACCCTGAATGCAGAATTCTCTAAGAGAACATTAAAGCCTATCGTCTCCAATATACTCTTCCTAAATGTGTTTGCAGGAGACAGGCATCTCAAATCAGAGTCTTACTACAGCTTCATATAGCATTTAAAATTCAGTGAAGGGTTTTTTAATAGAATAGAAAAGACACAGTATTCACCCACATATCACTCTCAGGATACAGACTACTGGACAATTTTTGGCTAATATACACTGCCACATTGAGTCTTGTCGTTGAGCATCAACCAGTTTGACACACAGTGCCCCATGTGGAACAGTCATGTGGTTGCATGAGCTCTGCATTTCAAGAGGGACTGTATCTTCCCGTTTCCTCATGTCTGACGGATGTTGCTCAAATTTTTAGTATTCTTTTCATGGGAAAATGCCTGCTTTGTTTATGCTGTGAAACTACCTTCAATACGGAAACTATCAGTCCATTCAAATTTGGAATTTAGAAATTGGAAAAAATAAGTCATAAATTGAATAGACTATTTGACGATGAGATTAATGCTTATACTGTGAATATATAACTTACAAAAACAGTTCTTGGGGGCTCTCATGGCTGTTTATATGCTTAGTCTGATTCTTCTGATATTGACAAATAGATTTTTTCAAATAACACCTAGCAACAAAAGTATTAAAAATCTGAATCTCTATTAAAAAAGATTGATACTATCCAGGTGTTCAACTGTCTTAGAAAAAGGCATTTGAGATATACCTTGTCTGCTGTAAATATCATTAGGAGACAGATTAGGCAGTGCTATATAAAACTTTAGTAGAATAGGGGGATAATGAAAAAACATTGTTCAAGTTCAGTGAAATAAATTGTCAAACACATGATGTGCAGAGTCCCACAGCATCCATGTCACCAGCAGCAGGCTTCTAACACCTCATACAGAGACAAAGGCAATATTGGATTCTTCTGTCGTTGGCACACTAGAAACAGCTTAACTACTACTCTGATGCTACAAACAATTTTGTGTTAGTCACAAAAAAATTGTATTTGACTTTCTCCTGGAGGGTATAGAGTCCTTACCTTTAGCTTGGTAATTTTATTCAAGTTACAGGATCAGTGTAATAACCCTGATTTGTTACATGACATAATTCTGATGCAGAAAATAGTGATCAGAGGTCTCCAATGGAAATCTTTTAAGTTCTGACCCTTGGGATCAAGCACCCTTGCATTCAGTTTGGTTTATGTAATATAACTACTAAGCTGTTAAAAAACAAAACAGAAAAAACCGCTACTTTTGGTGAACTACTAGGAGAAAATATATCCTCAGGACTAAAGGCTTAAATCTTTCACAGGTGGTATTGTCTGGGGAAGTGTACATTTTCACAGGGGAATTTACATAGAACCAAAAGAAGCCACTGAAATACAATTTGGGTGGGAGAAGGGGAGTTTTTAACAAAGCAGTAAAATAACTATGTCTGTTTGTAGTTATTGGGCTGTTGTGCTTTTTGCTTAGTAGGTCAACACAATGTTGTCTTATTAATTCGTGTCTGGGCCTATCACACAAGGGCTGTTTCTTCACAGACAGTTTCGATCAGAGTAGTCAAACCAGCAAAATAGGACATCCCGGTCAGAATTACTTTTTGAACCCCGTTTTGAACTGTTGCTTTTTCAATCAGTCTTGGCAGATTTCATTATAAGATTTTTTTCATAGCGTGCACATTTCACATGACATAACAGTTTTATGTAAGGAAAGTTTGTGCTCACTCACAGCGTAAACCAGCATACAAAATACTATTAGTCAAAGAAATAGATTTAATCAAGTCACACATCATGTGACAAAGGTAGCTGGTGTACTTCTATTACAGTCTTTTTCTTTTCTTACTTTATTCCTTGTAATGATATTCTATACCAAGTACAATATCTCCTGACCTCTCAGAGACGGAATGGTGCGAAAAACCAACTTTTCACTTCCCTCGTCAAACCAGACAAAATAATTCAAAGTAAATCTGAAGCAGCTCAAAAAAGAAAAGAAGTTTTCTTCTCCTTAAAGTAAATCCCCTTTCTGAGAAAGAAACAGAAGAACTTTTACTATATGTTTTTAGCTTCAAAATTTTACAAGCATATGTCAAAACAAAATGTCTCATTAAAGAAAGACAGTAAAATATTTCATTCGGAGAAGTTTGAAATAAAACATGCAGCTTTTACAAAAATATAATAATTAAAAATTGTAACAAACTTTCAACCAAAATTATTCCGTGTTTACAAATTCTCAAGTACTTCTGACTGAAAATACACCTGTGGTTTTCAGTGAATGAAATATCCATCAAAACTCTTCTTCCCAGCTCCTTCTTTAAATTTTCTATGCTTTTTCTCTGCTACTCCAGGCAGACTTTTCTCATCTCAGCAACCTTTAATAGAGATTAATCCTCCCTAGATTTCAGCATTTTTTATAACTGTTTGTTTAGCCAAAGTCAAACTTATTCCTACAAAAATATGACTTCTTTCAACTAAATAAGGGTTATTGCAATATTTTATTATTATTAGCAACCAGTTTTAAATCTTTAAGAAGGTAAGTCTGTGCATGTATATGTCAGCCTAAAGAAGAAGCAGGAATACCAAGATTGTTGGAGTCAAATAAACTTGTTTCTACTTCTGTTTCAGCTAAAGTGTTGTTTTCAGTTGTTAACTCAGTAACTCAATATTGAATCTTAAAAGTCCAGGAGGACATACCAATGAGATATGTTTTGACCTCGATGTGTGATTTCACATCTCACAAAATATGATCTTGATAAAGTTCTCTTTGAAATCACAACAAATGCAGTTTCTATTTTGGTATCCATACTAAGTCACTAAATGAGCAAATTGTTCTTTGTAGCTATGGATCATGGAGTATATTGAATGCATTATATTTATTTGTAAGGGAAGTAATTACGTTATTCATATATAAGGGGTGAGGGAGATTTACCTTTTTCTCCTAAATACACACATTTCAACTTTAGGCACTAAAACTCACATTGTATTCCTATACATATGCAGTCCTCTATTGTGCTCCAGGCCATACATGTTGTAGGCATCAGTCCTTGATGGCTGATGAAGGACATGGGTGTGGACTACAACTGTACTGTCAATACAGGTAACAGGCTATTTAAGAAATTCCAGATCTGCCTGGTTTTCTTGTAGTTCCTGTCAATACACAGCCAAAAGGCACCAGCACCACTGGAAAAGGGGCTGCATTACATCATCTTGGGTTGTAGCTACTGTGGTTACATTTAATGATATTGCCTTTGTTGAGAGCTACTGGGCAGCTTTGGTGCCTTCTCAGTTTAGTACAAAGAGTTACTGCTTCTGCTGCCCTTTTTCTTTGCCAAAAAAGCAGGAACCCTGGGATTTCGTCTTATCTCAATTGTTGTCACTTCACAGTTTGCTTTAATTTGACGGTTCAGGATTAAACCTCACATCATTGTGTCAGTTCAATATTGGTGGATTAACTTGAATATATGCTAGTAGTAGTATATAGTAGTTTCAAAAGCTATAGTAGTTTCAAAAGCACATACAGGAGTTAAATGCTTTTTTTAATTACTTTTTTTGTTGTTTTCTGAGGGAATGACCACTCTCTAATTCCTTGTGGATTCTCTCAAGTCAGAGGATTTCTGTGATAACTATTTCTGGTCACAGTAGGAACAGAGTTTTCTGCTATAATGTATTCAACATAAAACTTTCTGAATATTTAGCTCTCTAGACTGGAGATTTCACGCAGATTTAAGAAGCTGTCACTTATTTTTTGAATGCTCTTCAGTTGCTTCTGAATAGTCAGCAACCACACCAGGGTGAAGCAGAGAACCAATAGACGCTTTCAGATAGGCACGTCTCTAAGACCTGAGTTATGACAGGGTGTAATTCACAAGTAACTAACTCAGAGTTATATTCTGACTATTTTCCTTTGTAGGTACTTAAAGAGCACAAGGGTGGCCAGATGAGAGGCAATTGCAGAGGAACGTTTTCCAAAAGCAGAACTTTCTGTCAGAGCGACGGTCACACAATTACATAGTTTCCCCACTTACTAGATATTTTCCTTATTTAGTCTTTGATTTTGTGTTAGAAACTTATGCTTTATAAAAGAGACTGCATCTGTGCTTCATTAAACTGTAAATTCAGGGGAAGGGGGAAGGAGACAAGAAAAAACTGGTGTTTCTCCAAACTTCTCTGGATTCTCCCAGTGGGATGGGCAAATGCAGAAGGCGAAAGACAAATGAAAGATTAACAAAGAGCATCCCAAAGAAGGGATAAATGAAAACATGAAGTACAAGATTTATGACAGAACACTGCTACAGATCAACATTACTCCTGAATTTTTGCTTTAGAAAACATATGTTTATGTTTCATTTAAAAAATGAAATCTGTTTTATTAAGTGTATAAATGAGGTTTTAAAACACAAATATAAAGAATAAAGACAAAATAGAACAATAAAGACAAAATAAAGATGAAATATGAAGATTGTTAATCAATAATGTAACTGTTCCTCTTACATCAGGACCATATTTTGCCATAAGTACACTTTTTTTTTCTACACTGTCCTGCACAGCAACCTTGTCTCCAAATTGGACAGATATGAATGGATCGACAACTCTGTGGATAAAGAATTGACTGGATGGCAGCATACAAAGAGTTGTGGTCAATGATCATTGTTCATGTGGAGACCAGTGATAAGTGGTGTCTCTCAGGAGTCAGTACTGAGGCCGATCCTTATCAACGTCTTTGTCAGTGACATGGACTGTGGAATCGAGTGCACCCTCAGCAAATCTGCTGATGACACCAAGCTGTGTGGTGTAGTCGACACATTGGAGGGAAGGGATGCCAGCCAGGGGGACTTTGACGGGCTTGAGAGGTGGGACAACTCATGAAGTTCAACAAGACCAAGTGCAAGATCCTACATGCAGGTTGTGGAAATCCCAGACACACTTACAGGTTGGGTGGAGAAGTGATTGAGAGCAGCCCTGTGGAAAATGACTTGGGAGTGATGGCTGATAAAGAACTCAACACAAGCCAGCAGTATGTGCTTGCACCCCAGAAAGCCAATGAAATCCTGGGCTGCAGGCATGGCCAGCAGGTCGAGGGAGGTGTTCTTGTGAGACCCCACCTGGAATACTGTGTACAGTTCTGGTGTCCCCAGTATAAGAGGGGCACGGAACTGTTGGATCAAATCCAGAAGAGGACCATGAAGCTGATAAGTGGATTGGAGTACCTACCCTACAAAGATAGGCTGAGAAAGTTGGGTCTCTTCTCATCCTGGAGAAGAGAAGGTTGTGTGGAGACCTCATAGCAACCTTTCAGTATCTGAAGGAGACCTACAGGGATGTTAGAGAGGGACTCTTCATCAGGAACTGTAGTGATAGGACAAGGAGTCATGGGTAAAAATTGGGGAAATTTAGGTTAGATATTAAGAAGAGATTTTTTTACTGTGAGAGTGGTTAGACACTGGGACAGGTTGCCCAATGAGGTTGTGGATGCCCCAGACCTGGCAGCGTTCAAGGCCACGTTGGATAAGACCTTGAACAATGTGGTCTAGTGGGAGGTGTCCCTACCCATGACAGGAGGAGTTGCGACCAGATGATCTTTAAGGTCCTCACCAAGCCCTTAAAATTCTATGATTCTAAGTATTCTCTTCTTCCTAGTTCAGTCCTCTGTCATGAGACTACCCTCTCAGAGATGCACCATTTACCCCTTCAATTTCTTTCTGTTCTATCACATACCTTCCTACTCATCTGACTTTAGATTCTGACAATTGCTTCATGCCACACGTCCTTTCTTTCCCTCCACCAGGATTCATATTTGCCAATTGTCCTATTTTTTCTCTCCCAGCAACCTGTTGGCCCACTTTTCTCACACAGCACTTGTTCTGTGTCCTCCTCCTTGTTATACCCTTATTTATTTCCATGTTCCCTTATGCTTCTCATCTTTTAAATTTAATATGGGGTTTACGAAATCAAGCAACATGTCTTAGCACTTTCTTAATGTTCTCTGCTGAGAACAAGAATCATAGTTTGTTTTTACAAAATGTAACAATGATTAGTATGTTTCAAATTGACCACTTGCTTCCTTTCAAAAATGTTTTCTAAATGGCCATGTCACTTACTCTCCAGTTGCAAAATAAGGAACATAACACTTTAAAAAAATAAAAAATAAAAGAAGCTGACTTCAGCTCTAACATACTGAGTTAGTTTTCATTTGTAATTTTAGATAAATTCACTGAACAAATTTATTTGTAACTTCTTCAGGTTATTTGAGAAATTTACCACAATAAGCAAGTACTGTCTGTCCTCTGCATCTATGAGCATAAATGCTTCTTATGAAGCACTCACTCAGCTCTTTTAGAACAGCAGACAAAAAGCAGTGCCTTCTGACTCTACTGTTGGCAGTGCCTCTGCCACAGAAATTCACTGTTCATCCACTTTCCACAGAAAAAAAATTTTTAAAATTTTTTTATATAGTTACTCATATGAGAAATGGCAAGTGCCTAATTTGTCCTATTCAACATGCAGAAAGATTGCCAATGTACTGATCCAACACAGGACTCTTTGACAATTCACTGGAACAAAACCTCATCTTGCGCAGATAAGATTAGAATAAAGTATGCAGAATTCAATCTGATTTCAATGTACAAATAAAAATTAACCAGAACAGCAAACAGGAGAGGAAGATATAGCCAGGTTATAGATATATGAATTTCATCCTCAAAAGAAAAATGTGATTTTGGCTCCTTCAGCTCAGACATGAAGCCCACCAGGCATTCGTTTTAATAAAAGTCCTTAGCTCTCTCCATGAATTAATGGCCTTCTCTAGTCAGAGGTCATAATTCAGCCAGAGGTCTATCATCTGTCCTGGATATTTGCTTATCCAAATGTGATACCTTGCAAATAGTGGCCCCAGAGAAAGAGTCTTGTTCAAAAGGTGCTCACCAGCTACAGTCTTTAAGATGCTTTGTGTCATTCCCTGTAACTTCAGCTCTAATAAGACTAGTATGAAGCTGATTTCTCCTCCCCAGCCCATGAATGAAAAGAAGCAGCAGAAAGAGAGATACAAACACCCTAAACTGGAGTTATGTTCACTCACTGCCAGACACCAGCCTGGACTTCTCTGATGCAAGAGTTTGCTAGATTATGACAAAAACTTGTGCAGATCTCATTCATAGTATCATAGAATCATTTATGTTGGAAAAGACCCTTAATATCATAGAATTGCAGAATCATAGAATCAGACGGGTTGGAAAAGACCTCTGGGATCATCAAGTCCAACCCCTGATCCACTACCACCCTGGTTACTAGACCATGGCACTAGACCTTGCCACATCCAGTCTCATCTTAAAAACCTCCAGTTTTTACATATCTTTGAGTCCCTAAGTGCCACATATAGACATCTTTTACATACCTTCAAGGTTAATGATGCAACACTGAGCAGCCTGTTGTAGTGCTTGGTAACCCTTTACCTGAAGAAATCTTTCCTAATACCTAATCTAAACCTCTCTATATGCAACTTGCCCAGTGATATTGCCTAAAAGTTAATGAGTAATTACCTAAATATGAACATAGACATCTGTGCAAAAGTCTTCTTTTAAAAATACTGGTTTGACTCTTGAATCTCTTAACAGCAGTGTGACCATGTGCTCTTGCATGGCACCTTGACACAAGTCACAGTGAAAGCCATTCTGAGTGGTAGTCACAGAACTGTCTGGTTCAGTTATCCCAACAGTAAACTCTTATCAGAATAGTCACAGGCAGCCAAGCTATTCCTCTCCAGAAGCAGGAAAAAATAGTTCATGGGGTTACTGAGATGCCAAAGGCAGCTCTGCAGGTGTCTATTAAACTCTGCTGCCCAATGAAACTTTGACAAAGCCTAAACTTGGGTCCAAGCTTCGGCTAAAAGGAGTATAAAAATCCAGAAGGAAAGACCTTTCTTAACACTCTCTGTTTCATATGCTCTTTTTAAACATTAAGTACTGGCCACTATTTGAGATGAATTTTTGTTAGTTTGAGTTTTGCTCTGATCCACTGCAACAGTTCTTGTGTTAAGTGGAAGCAAGAAGGAAAATTTGGTCCAGCGAGGCCACAGCTTTTGGCCTTCTGACTTTAAACAGGAGTACAGAGCAATGATATTGTTTTCATTAACTCCAGCAGTAAGCTGGCCTTCTGGGTCTAATCTAAAGCTGCTATGAAAAGAATTAATTACTTTACCAAGCTCTCAGTTTTGAGGAATGAAGATTATATTATTCCAGCCTGGCCTCCTTAATTAATTTAATACAGGAATGTTACTTGACCACAGTCTGTCTTCCACTGTCCAGTACTGTTACACAAACTAAAAACTAATCCTTAAAAATAAAAGCTTATGTTTATTATCTAATTACCAAGAAAAGTGAAGTTTGGACTTTTCCTATGTTGAGCTATATTGGCCCTCAAAAGCTAATTTAGATATTTATTTAGTCTGGTGAATTATTTGGTACTTCCCCTCGCTGGTGCCAGAAGGTAGAAGACAGGAGGGCACTGTTCTTCCCATCTACAGAACCTGACAGCTAGAGGAGATTCCTCCAGAATGACAGAAGGACTCACAGGAAGCTCCTGCTGCTGCTCCAGTGAAAACCCCTGCTGGTGTGAGACCAGGGCACTGGCATGACTTGCTCAGCAGGGACACGGCCATTCTCCACACCAAACAGCAGGCAGATGGACAGGCATGCCCAGCACATTTGTGCCAAAGCCATGAAGCTGCTTAAATGCACACGGGCCTCCCTACCTGCACTGCAGCATACAGGTAATGCCTACTGATCTAGTGGGTCTTTCCCACCCCCAGCAGGATTTAAATGAGGCCCCTTAGTCCAATAGCAGCCCCTGAGACTCAGGACATTGCCCTTTGCTAAGGGAAGACAGGATTAAACTCAGGCATAAAGCTAAGCACTGTGGGGTGGATCCGATCCTGCATTAGGAGACATCTCTTGCCTGCTACATGGGCTTTGGCATGGGGATCTCTGTCATGATCTGCTCAAGAGCTG